TCATCATCATCATCATCAACATCAACATCATCATCAACAACAACAACAACAACCGTCGGATGGCCAAAGAGTAAAGGAAAAAAAAAAAAAAAAACACACAATGGACGACGCATCACAATTGAAAACGTGGTTTATTAAATAATTACACGGAATTTTTTTTCCCCCTCCCCTCTTTTTTATTATTATTATCATCATTATCATCATCATCATTTACTTTTTTCCCATCGTAAACAATCGAAAAGGGAATCATTTTACAAAAGGAAAAAAAAAACAATCGGTTCATTTATCGATCCAAAGTTATCGATTACAATGATTCACTCACTTCATACTACAAACAAACGAGACCATGAAAAACAAAAACAAAAACAAAAACAAAGGAAAACTCTCTAGAAAACAGTGGAAAAACTTTTCCACATTTTATGAAAAAAAAAAAAAAAGGGGGGGGGGGCACAACAGAATCAAAACCAAAAAAAAATATCGATTTTCATTCGATTTTAAAATATCGAAATACCTTTTAATTAAATTTCTTTTACACTTTGATTAGTTACCGCGGATGAGTGAGAAGACATTTTGAATTTCCCCCCTTCCCCCTCTCCCTCTCCCCCGCCCCCATTTTCTTTCCTTCCTTCCTTCTTTACTTTCTTCTTTTAATTAATAAAAAAAAAAAAAAAAAAAAAAAAAAAACAAATTTTTTACGTGCACGCACGCACTCATTCATTCATTCATTCCGATCGATTTCACATTTAAACAAATTCTCATCATCCTCATCATTCACGTCATCATCATGACGTCATCGTCATCATCATCCCGTGCAATTCACATTCATCACATTTAAGTTAAATAACTACAACACGTCGTCACAACCACCATCTTACACGTTATTATTTCTTTTTTTTTTTAATACAAACAATAAATTTAAAAAAATCCATTTTTATCTTTAATGGACGGCCATGTTTAAACAAAAAAAAAATTTTTTACTTCATAAATAATTACAATTTTTTGCTAAGGATAAAATTTATTTACTCTAATCGATACCTATCAATAATAATCTATGTAGAACGATAAATAAAATTTTATTTATATGGGTCAAATATAAAAGAATCCGATTCGTCGGATAACACTAAAAAAAAAAACTTCTTCTTCTTCTTTTCCCGTTTGAAAACAAAACAATTCAAACATTGGGATTTTGGGTTAGAGAAAACAAAACAAAACAAAAACAAAAACACAAAAACAAAATATTTACGTTTTCACACACACACACACAAACGCTAACCCCTAACCCCTCTCCCCCGCAACCTAATACCACCACGATAATAATAATAATAATAATAATATTTTTTGTAATGCGTGAAATGGTATCGTTTGAAAAATAATCGATTTATCGAACGACATGTTTTATCGATTATTATTTTGTAATTATCACGATTAAAAAAAAAAAATAATTTTGAATCGATTTTCGCGTTTCCCCCCACTCCACTCCGCCCCCACCTAAATTAATTATTTTTTTACCACACATTTTTACGACAACTTTTGACATTTTACGAAAATAAAAAAAAGGAAGGAAGGAAGGAAAACGAAAGGGGAGAAAGGGGAAAAGGGGAATTCACTTGAAACATAATAATAATAAATAAATAAATCACTTAATAATTACGAAATAATAATAATAATAATAATAATAATAATAATAATAATAATAATCTTTAGATTTGGTTACGATAATAATAATAACAATAATAATAATAACCCTTTCTTTATTAATAATAAAGCATTAATTTATTTCATTTAAGAGAATGAAAAAAAACAAATAAAGGATTTAACGATGAATAATAATAATAACAATAATAACAATAACAATGACGATGATGATGATGATGATGATGATGAAAATAAAAGCTAAGCAAAATAATTTTTTCAATATTTCTTTTTTTTTTTTTTTTTTTTTTAATGCAAAACTGATTTAATTCATAACTTTTCCATAATCGAAAACTCAGAAAAAATAAGTTGTACATAATTTTTCTTATTTATTTATTAATTTATTTTCATTTTTAAAATAATAATAATAATAATGATAATAAGGAAAAACAATAAAGAAAATTTTTAAACTTTGTGTGTGCGATTTGTGATGCTTTTTATATTAATTAAAATAAAATTGGTACAAAGAGAAGCAGGAGAGAGGAGGAAGAGGAGGAGGAGAAAATCCTTATCCCCTCTTTTCCCTCCCTCCCCCTCCCCCTAACGTTTCCCAGTTTAATTAATTTGCATGACAGTCGTGTTAAAAACACCCACAATCATAATGAAAATAACATCGTTAACGAAAAATAAATAAATTTTTTTTTTTACATAGATGATGATGATGATGATGATGATGATGATGATGATGATGATGATAATAATAAGTAAAACAACGTTCGATATTATATATATGTACGTTTTTTCATAAAAATTTCGTTCCAATTTTTTTCCGTTTTGTTTCGTTTTAAACTTTAATCATTATTATTATTATTATTATTAAAAACAATTATCGATTTATTGATTTTTTTTTTTTTTTGAATCATCAAAATTAAACATTGTGTTCTTTTGTTTTGTTTTTTCTTTAACTGTTTATTAACAAAATTATTTATTTATTTAAAAAAAAAAAAAAAAAATTTTTTTTTATTAAAGAAACGATAAAAATTAATGAAAATATGTAAACGATTTCTTTTCTTTTTTTTTTTACCGGATGAAAAACGATCGTTCGATCGATCGATTTAATTTTAATTAATTATTCATTAATTAATTAAAAAATATTTTAACGGAATTTAATTTTTAAAAAAAATATGAAAAAATTAATCGGGTATTCCCCCCGCCCAAAAAATTTTAAAGAAAAAAAATGGGCCAGCCACGAGTAACTCGTACATTTCGATAGGGGGGGGGAGAAGAAGAAATTTTCTTTTCTTTTTTTTTAAGGGGGGCAGGGGGCGATTATCGGTTAAAAAATTGATGCTGTCACGTTGTAGTCTTTCTCAATTAAAATATATATATATAAAAAATTAAAAAAGAAAAGCCTTTCAATAATATTTAAACATTTTCTTTTCTTTTTTGTATTCTGAATTTTCTCTGGCACCTTTCTTGCTATTAAAAATTATTTTACAATTATTATTATTATTATTATTATTATTATCGTTTGTATTATTGATTTTTTTTAAAAAAAATTATTTATAAACAATTTTCAACATTTTTTAGTAGTAAAAAAAAACCATTTTGGTTTGGCATTAAATTATTTTCAAAATGAATTCTACAAAAACAAACAATTTAAAGCATAATTATTATTATTATTATTAAAAAATAAATTAATTAAATAAACAATCGTTTTGGTTTTGTTTAATAATAATTATAATAAAATTTTTTTTTTTTTTTTTTTTTTTTTTTAAATAAAAAGGAAACAAATTTATTAAATGTATCGATCGATTTTACTTCTGAGTCAAAATTTATTTAAAACAAAAAATTTTATGAAATATTTGATGATAAATTTTAATAATAATTATAAAAACATGGCCAACTGACTTTCTCTTTTTTTTTTTTTTTTCTAATAAATTTTTGACAAACAATTGTAAAGTTAAAATAATAATAATAATAATAATAATAATAATAATAATTGAGATTTAATGGGAAAACAATAATTTTACATTAATAATCATTCAATATTTCCATAATGTCTGTTGATATTTTTTTAATCGTAAAATAAATCACATGAGACATATTGTTTAGTAATAATAATAATAATTCATATTCGAATAATGACAAAAGAAAATGTGAATAGAAAAACATTTTTAAAAAATTAAAATTAATAAATTAAGAGGTAAACTTTAAATTATTATTATATGATGTGGTAAATTAAAAACTAAACTAAAATTTTAATAAAAAATTTTAAACTGTAATTAGTGATTTGGAAGAGTGAACAAATAAAAAGAATGAGTCGATACACACACACACACACACACACACATACACACACACATAAACACACACATGTTTGTATATATGTAAAAGGTGAAGTAGAATATTTAGATAAAAAACTTTAAGGAATTCATATTGTAGAAGAAAAACTAAAAAGATGGCACATATTTTCATATGTAAAAATATCGAACAATGACAAAACTAATTGAAAATTATCGAAGAAAACCGTTAAACTTTTTTTTTTTCTCTCTTTTTTTTTTTTTTACTATTATTTAAATTATTTAAATACTAAAATGAAAGACTAAAAAGTTAAAAAACTAAAATTCACATTTAAAGAAAAAGAATCGTTTGTTTTTCATTAAATCGAATATAAATATTATTAATTGATTATTGTTTAAAATTTAAAAAAAATTTTTAATTTTTACTATTCGATAAACAATAATTTTCATTTGGCCAAAAAAAAAAAAAATAAAATAAATAGAAACTTATTAATGTTTTCCCTTGTTGGAAATTATTAAAAAAAAAAAAAAATGGAAAAATTATAAATAAAAAGTTTAAATAATATCGATGATGGTGTGATTAAAAAGCGACCATAATGTAAAATTCAAATTTTTAATCGTAGTAAAATAAATATTGCACTGAATTAATAAATGATAAATTACCATCATTAATATTTGCAATATTATTATAATGTCTGCTCTACCCCCCCCCCCTCCCACCACTCCCTACTGTAAAAACATTTTAAATTTTTGAAAAAAAAAAAAAAAAAAAACTCTCGAGTAGTATGTAAAGAATTTTTTTTTTATGTCAATTATTCAGCCTTAAAATATTTTTTTACTCAATTTGCATGATTTGAAAAAAAAAGAGAAGAATTCTAATATTTGAAATTTTTATAATATTTTCATAAATTCAAAATGTTTAAATTGTAAAAATTGTAAAGATGTTTAACTGTAATGAAAATTTAAACTCAAAAACCAAAAAAAATTAGTCGAGCTTTTTTGAAAATTTTCATTTAATGAGTACCTCATATAATATAATTTCATTATTTTTTAATTCGATACATTTTAGTAAACCATGAAATATTCCAAAATAGACAAATTTATTTTAATTAATTGGAAAAAAGAAGGCTTTTCTTTCCTCAATACCTGGATAGGTATGTTTAAAAGATAATGCAAGTATGAAAACCTAATAATTTCTTAATGTATAAATTTTTTATACATATTTTAAGAGGTTTTAACAAAAACTAACTAACACATCTTGACAGCATCAATATGAATTGTTTTTAATAAACATTTAACTCAATTTTTTTTTTTTTTAAATATAAGTAAAATGTATAGAAATTGAGTCAATTTATTGTAGAAACCGGTGTACAAAATGTTGGGGGGATTTCTTGGCAAAAAGGGGGGTTAAAGAAAAAACAATGCAACACAATTTAAAATAATAAAAACCGGTCAACTTGAGCATTAAGGTTTTTTACAAAAAAAAAATTTAAAAATTAATATTAGTTTTTTTATATGAGACTCATTGTTGTACTCACCTCACCACTTTCAGCCGCAGGAGAATTTTCAACAATATCATATATAATTGGCGGCAATCCGGCCGTACCCAATAAAGAAAATCCCAAACCAGAATTTTCACTTGTTCTCCTAAGTACAACAGATAATTCTTCCGCCATTTTTTTTTTACATACAATTATAAAAATAAAACGATTGAAATAATTTTTTTACGCTCTAAAACGAAACACCTTGTTTATTTCTATCGCGTACCATTATTCAGCATGCATTACAAATGAATAAAAAAAAAAAAAAAAAAAAAAAAATTTTTTTTTTTTTTTTCTCGATCGATCGTTAATTTCTTACATTTAATTTTTTTTTCCATTTCGTATAAAAATAAATTTTATAAAAAAATAATAATAATAATATTTTAACACGCGTTTTTTACAAATTATTATATTGAAACCTTACTCGTTGATTATTTAACTCGTTTGATTTCTATGAACGTCAACGAAAGGTAACTCAACCATAAGTAATTCTTCCATAGAGGACCTTGCTTCTTGGGTCACGTGACTTTCAAAATTATCGTCTGCTTTACTTAGAATAATTGGTCGTTCTGATTTTTGTGATACGTTATATTAATAGAAAAAATTCTTTTCTTTTCTTTTTTTTTTAAAGAAATTTTTATTTTCATTATAAATTACAATAAATAATTTATATTTTAGTGATTTCGATCGTTTTTAGTGACACGATTAAATATATCGGCAACCATTTTTTTTTATTTAAAAAAAATTAAATGAGAAAACAAACTGTTGGCAAATTAATTTTTTTTTCACTTTTAAAGTTATTTTGCTTGAGCAAAACTTTTAATTTTTTTTATTAATGCAACAAATAATTGTTTTTATGTATTTACAAACTAATAATGGCTTCATTTTTAAAATAAATGTATCAATATTTAATACCTGTGTACTCCTTTGTTTTTTTTCTCATAACATTAATTTGTCATCTTCGAATTAAATTTTTAACAATAAAAAAATTATATTTTAAATGTATCATTTTGAATATATATTTATATTTTAAATATTTTATTAACCTGCAAATACATCAGATCTTTTATACCATTTAATGAATCAGCTTAATAATTCATATCGAGCAGGACATAATTACATTTTTTTAATATTTCAATACATATTACAACTTTTCTCCAAAATTTTTAACTTAACAAATAAAAAAAAAAAAAAAAATTATATACCTTTGGTTATAACTTCTAGGCATTAAGTTTTAATTAACTTATAATAAAGTTTGGCTTAATGGCAACACTTTTGCTATTTATACAACATTTTCTTAACCAAACATAAATTCTTTTGATAAAATCAAAAAAAAAAACGAAAAAAAAACATCATGACCGAATATTACAAAAAAATTCATTTGTTAAAATTAATTACTCTTGCATTAACATACACTTTTCACAATTAATAAATATATATAACTAAACATTTTTATCTTGACTCTGCCTTGTGTTTGGGCGGTTTGAAACCCCCCGCTTTGAACTTTTTAACTTTATTGTCTGATTTTTTCGAACCAGCTTGAAATGCTTTCCAACTGTTCACTCTGCCCTCTCTAGATTCCTAAAAAATGTTGATGTAAATGTAAAATTAATAATGAAATAAAATTTTATTAATAATCATGTCGAATTGATAAATTGAAACATACTTCAAAATTTTTTTGCCATTCTTTTTCCATGCTCGCCTTTGTTTCCTCTTCGATTTCCTTTTCTCTTTTTCTTTTTCTCTCTTGCATGTCTCTTTCTTCTATATCTCTTTTTTTTCTTTCTAAATCGGCAAATAATTTCATTGTCATGACATAAACAGCATGTTTATATTTACTCTAAAAAAAAAAAAAAAATTAAATAATTTCTCTGTGAATAAACTTTAAAATAATGAGGGTAATTCAATCTGTAGGATTCACATACAGGTTCATCTTCTTCGACTTTTGTACATTTCCCTTCTTTTTTCAATTTTTTTTTTTTATCAGCTATCATCATATCAGTGCGAACTTTTGCTTCTTCTATTATGTCTAAACATTTTTGTCTAGTTTCTTGAGTTTCTAACGTTTTCCACGCTTTATTTATAACTAAAAAACAAAAGAAAATTGAGCACGTATAAACGGTGAAAATTTTAAGGGAAATTTATTTATTTCAACATACTTTCAAAAGCAGCCTGAGCTCTTTCAGCATCATCCTGATTTTTATCTGGATGAACTAATATCGATAAACGTTTATATTTTTTTTGGCTTCCTCTGATGACGTTTCAGGTTCTATTTGCAAAACTTCGAAAGGATTTAAATTAAAATAAGTTGATCCTGGTCTTAGCAACCGGTCAATCTGTTGTTTAGGAGTCAAAACGGAATCTCGTTTCTCGATTTCTTTCACCTGTAATTATTAACAGAAAAATAAATCGCATCGTTTTCACGCGATACAATTTTACGTAAAACTCTCACGTTTGCTCATAATAATAATTAAAATTAACTTACTTCCGAGTAAAATTCATTAAAATCTCTGTCGTTCATTTCTTTTTTATGTTCATCGTCCATCTTTCTTTTGTTTAATGAAATCACGCCATTTTTAATTTTTAACAAATTTTCAGTTGGCATTCTGATTTTTATTTTGTTTTGTTTTTTTTTTTACTATGGCGCTTTGTTTATATTATTTAACAGTTAAATTTATTTATATATTGAATTAATAAATAAGTACCATGAAATATATTATTTAAAATTTATTTTTCATCCTTATCATTTAATGTCGATTAAATTTTAAATTCAGGTAATTTTAAAAAATAAATAGCATTGATTAACGTCGAATTTTCTGAGAAAAAAAATTTGCCTGTCTCATTTAACTTGACCTAAATAATAAAACCAAGTTAATTATTTACAAAAAGCATATAAACATCAATAAATTATGTACATTTTAATTATTGATTTTTTAATTGTTAAAAAACCTTCTTTGATATTATAAAATTAATATAAATTAACGATTATTTACAAAAATTTGTGACATGCTTTATAAGTTAATAGTATATAAGGCATAACAAAATTTTTTATCGAACATTGTGTAATAATTTATTATTATTATTATTAGTTTTTTTTTTATATATAGTAATGACATTTTACATTAAATTATTTAATTATACAATTTTTTCAAGTATTTAGCTATAATTATTTTGCGAAATTAATAATAAAAAAAAAAAAAAAAGCATTATCGGCAGTGTTACAACCAATTATGGCAACTAAATTTAATAAGTTTACTAATTTTTTTTTTTTTTTTTTTTTTTTTTTCGGTAATACATTCTTATTTCCAGCATTATGACGATGACGACAACATTACTTTAAGTAATATTTCTTATTAATTTTTATATCGATTTTTTATACATACATAACATCACAATATAAAAACATTTTTTTTTTACAAAAAGAAAAACGTACGGTAAATTCAAAAAAAAAGAAAATTTGGATGCTTTTTTCATTAAATAAATAGGAAGCCAGTAATTTTTTTTTTTAATAAACTTATCACAATAACGATTAATCAATATGTTTGTTAAATAACAAATTTTTAAAAAAAATAAATTTTTTTTTTTTTTAAACTGCACCCAAGGAAATGGATTATTACACTTTGAATTTTTTTTTTTTTTAAGTTAAATAATTAAATTCATGATTTGAAACACTTTTCCCGTTTAAAATAGGCACAAAATTGATAACTTATTCATTAATGAGCTTTTTATTTTATTATTATTTACTGAGAGAAATTTATTTAAGAAGAAAAAAATTTTACGATAACAAATTTCATGCGACAATCAAGCTATTCGAATGTGTTCTGACAAACAAACAATCGAACGAAAAAATTAAAGTTATTTTAAATTTGATTATTATTATTACTATTATTATTATTAATTTATGTTAATCTAAAACAAATTAAAATTTTTTTTATTTATAATTGTGTGTAATTAATCTTACCTGAATTTAAAGAGAGAGAGAGAGAGAAAAAAATATATTTTATTTTAACCTTTGTGTAACATTAGCTAAAGCAACGGAAAATGCTTGTAAAACTGAAAATGGATACTGAAAATCTAACGTGTAAGCATTTCCATCGATTCTACCAAACTGCATCACCTAAAAATAAAAGGAAAAGAAATAAATTTTAAAAAAGGAAATTAAAATAATGTTGTAATTGATTTTCTCTCTCTTTCTTTCTCTCTCTCTCTCTCTGTCACTCTCTCTCTCTCTCTCTCCGTCTCTCTCTCTCTCTCTCTCTCTCTCTCTATTTCTATCTCTCTCTCTATTTGTCTCTCTCTGTCTCTTTCTCTCTCTCTCTGTCTCTCTCTGTCTCTTTCTCTCTCTCTCTCTCTCTCTCTCTCTCTCTCTCTCTCTCTCTCTCTATCAATACCTGTTTTCCTTTGAATTCAATTTGAAAATTTTTAGCAGATTCTTGTGTAACTCTTCCACCAAAATCTAACTGATAAACTTGAGAATTTTCATTCCACATGGGTGCTTTATTATGCATAACCAATTCTCGAACCTTCGGAGTCGTATTACCATCTCGAACTTTTCCTCTTTTTAACTGGAAATTTTTTTTTTTTTTTTTTTTTAAAAAACGAACTCAAATAGAGGAAAATTCAATCGGGAAATTTTTTTTTTTATATTACTTTTTGCCTAAGCTGTGCTTTTTGAAATGTTTCCAAATCTTTAAAATGACTGCTGCTGGTAAATGCTTCGTCACCGGAAAAACCATTATCATCATCCGAACTTTCCGCTTTTGATTTTGCTCTTCTTCTTCTTAAAAGAGGAGAATTTAAAAGATGTTTTCTAAAAATAATAATAATAATAATATTAATTCTATTCGTTTGTGTTTAATAATTTTTGTTTAAAAATAATAATTTTACCGTATCGGCGAAGAACTTTGATTTCGTTTTTTCTTTGACATGGCTGGTGTCACCGGTTGACTCCTTGGTAGTCTTGAAGGTGTTACTGGAAGAGACTCGATTGCATTTCCCAATAAACTACTTGTAGAGTTTTCTTTAAAAGATTCAATTTTTTCATCATCCCCTAAATCCAATTTATTATTTTTATATTCGTTTTTCGGTGTTGCCGTTTCAACAGACGCATTCTCATCCTTTTTATTAAAGTCTTTTAATTTTTCATCACAGGTATTATTTTTTTTAGTCAATAACATTTCTCCAGAATCTAAACTTTTACTTTTACCACATGTTTTAAAACCGGATTTTCCATCCAATTCTTTTTCCGATGAATTTTTCTTTCTCGAACCTCCAACTAGTATAAGTCTTTTGGGAGAATCTTTTTGTAATAGTTTTAGTGATAGTTCACACGGTACCAATCCTACATCTACGTTGTCTAAATAACCCATAGAACAACTTCTATTCATTTTATCAATTAATATTTCCGTGTCGTCATCAATAAATTTCAAATTATCAACGTCTGATTTTTCTTTTTCCGTTAGATATTTTCCTAAAGCATTTTTCATTTTTTGAATATTTTGAGCTGTAACATCTAAAGATGATGATTGATCTGGAAATTCTCTGTCATTTTTAACATTACTTGCTATAATATTTACTGGAGATTGATTGGTTTGAATTTTATTTACGTTTGAAGTTCCTTGTTTATTTAAAAAACTTGTTTCCGTATTTTCCGATCGACCTTTGACACTCAGACGTTTTTTACTTTCGATATCTTCTATTTTAAAATTTTCACAAAAATTAATTACGTCATTTAAATTTAAATCGGTATAATTTCTTTCCGTGTTATCTTTTTCCAGTAAATTCTTTTCTTTGCTACCGTCAATTATTTCTTCTCCATCGGAGCTCTTATTTTGATATGTATTTAATTTATTAGTTTCATTTACAATTGTGGACGGTGGAAATTTGGAGGCAGTGACACTAACATCTAAATGAGCAATGTTATTTGGTTCTGTCGTAGAAGTACTCGGTTTTTGATTGTTTATTTTATTTTCCGGAAAAACTGATTTTTCTTCGCCACTTTCGTGAGTTCCCCCGCCGACGTCTTTAATATTTTTAGAATTCATTAATGCTTTTCTAAGTTCCGATTGTTCTCTCAACATAGACGGATTAGTGTAGACAAATCTAGGAGACCTTATGAAATTATTTCCGTCTGTTATGTTTAAAATCGAATTTAAAAATCTTGATCGATGCTCATCTCGTCTGGGAGTCATGGGAGCTATAGGAATAGCTCCACTTAATCCTCCGGTTGTGATAGACGAATAATTTGTTTCCATCAATGAGGTTCTTTCTTCTTCTTCGTCTTCTGAAAAAACTTTCGGATTGAAAGATGGATCGGGAGCATGAAGAATATCGTCACTTAATTCAGTCATTATCAAACTCATCTGAAAAATTTGACTGCCATTAGCTTTTCTTCAGGATTTCTTCATTTTTAGTGACATTATGCAACGCATACCTGTCTAGGCTGAAGATGTAAAAGGGATGTTTTGTAAGTAACCTGTCCTAGATTTGCAGGAACACAGTCAGCTAGCCCGTGAATTTTAAATTTCGTACCCCAAATATTTGAAGTAACTTCTACTAATCTTGCATCCTAAGAATTTATTGAATATAAATACTTTTTAATAATTAATTAATTTATTAATTTACTATTTGTTACCTCAGGTAATGTATCTACATAAGTTAAATCATCTTCCTGATCGGCGACACTTTTTCTTCTTTTTCTTCTTCTCCTCTGAGCTCTTGGCGATCCACTACATCCATCTTCTTTTTCTGTGTCTGACGTATCACTTCCCCTAGCCGTAACTTTAACATTTGTGTAAGAGGTATCTTTATGTTCATCTACAATAAAAGAAACTTGTTAGTTTCAATTAAAGAAAGCAATTTATCGGCCATTTAAATTTATAACATGAAAATAAATGCATTACTATCAGCTTGAGGATCGAAAATTACAAATTCTGGACGAATTTTACTAGTTCTTTTGCCTTTTAAAAGTGGCACTAAACCTCCCAAATACTCTAAATAAAGCGTGTAGCAAGCCCCAGAACTCATATGTTCATCATCATGTCTAATCATGGTACAATGAAGTCTAGTACCATTGACTGGAGCTCGACTGACGAATTCCCTTAAACCCTTTGATTCTGGGACACAGCACTGAAAACGCAGAATTTTATGTAAAAATGATTTTGAAGAGATGATCTTAGTTTTAAAAGTCATTTAAAGAAAAATTATTAACCCTAATAGTTTGAGCAAATAAATTTCCTATTAAATGTTTAATTCTCGGGGGTAAAGGTAAGCTTTGAACTGAGGATTCTCCTAAAGGTAGAGCCGATGCAACTTTAAGTCTACTCAAAAGTTGTAATGATGCTACTCTCCTTGACACCCATGCTATATGAACTACACCGCCTGTAGCTACAAACAATCGTTTGTCATTATGTCCCCAGGTAAGAGCAGTAACCGGACTCTAAAAAATAAATAAATAATTTAATTTCAAATTTTTTTTACTCTATAATTCCTATTTTCACTTACTTGAGAGTAAGGAATTAGAGTAGAATACAATAATTCTCCTGTATCGGTGTAACATTTAAGTATATTGACGTAATCATTATTATCGGTATGATTAGCTACTCCAGCAACTGCCAGAAGTTGTCTACTGTTTGCCCATTCCATGCAGAGAGGACCCCCTAAGCCAGTATTAAATTGTATTGGAGACACATCATCATAACTTTTCATTAGAAAAATATAACCAGTGGATAAAGAAACAGCTAATACTAAGTTACTATTGTCTAAAATCAACAATAAAATTATCAAAAATTTAATTTTCCATGAAATTACATCAAGTTATTTTAAAGTTCTGCAAGTAATATTTTCACCATTTTCATTATCATCTCCTTCTTCCATTTTAAACTTCTCACAAGACCAAGCCATTGATGTAACAGGAGCTTGAGCTAAAGAAACTTGAGCAACCATTGCTCCATGAACATCCATAACTACTAATCCTCCTTGAGAAGTTCCAAAGTAAACTTGAAGATCATCTGGAGTCCATATACCACATGTGATTGTACTATCCAAACTTAACATTGAAGACCAATATCTTTGTCCAGCTACGGAACCGACGAGAACAAATCCATCCTTAAAAAATAAATGTCAATTTTATGAGATTTTTCTTTGCTTTAAAAATCTTTTTGATTTTTAAAAAAATTGTTTTTTCACCTGATAACATATAAGAGCCATTCTACCATCGTGAGACCATGCAAAATGCGTTACAGGTGTATTCCTATCATTAATCAATTCAATACTCCACCTTCCTTCGTATTTAATCCAGACAAAAATAATTCCCGACGAATCGCAAGATGCTAATTTCTGATACGGTTCATTCCATTTTACTAAAATCACCTGGAAATGAAATGATAATTGTCCAAAAAAAAAAAAAAAAGTGTCACAAGTAAATATTTAAAGTTTTATAATAACTTACTTCTGATCTGTGTCCACGAAGATTATAATTTGTTCTGAGTGGATATTCAACGGTTTTTTTACAATGAGATGTTGTAAAAGTAACACCGACAATTCCTCTAACATGTCCAGTTGCTAACCATCCCTCTTGATAATAATTCGTCCTGTTTAATTTCCAACCTTCATCCTGGAAAACAAAAAAATCCGTTATAATTTCACACGGCAAGGAATTTTCTAATTATTTTCAAATTTTTTTTTTTTTTACCTCGGGTAATTCATCGGGTACTTTACCCATCCATGTTAAAGAAAGTATAGCACAATCACATTTTGCATTTGAATTCCTTTCAAAATGTAAATGCATTGCTTTTTAAATAATATTCGAATAACGGATTTTTAATAAAATTTCTTACAAAAAGAACTATAGGTTGTCGTATAAATTTATAAAAAAAAACTCATTTTACAAAAATTATTTTTTTCGATTGAAATAAAAAAAAATTAAATTGTTAATTATGTAACTTTTATATTTTTCATCAAGTCCATAAAAAGATAAAAATTCAAAAACCGCGAAAATAAAATTTCATTCAAAAGTTTCTCAAATAAATTCATTTCAAAACTTTAACCGTCGACTTTTTTTTTTTTTTTTTAAATTAAAAGTAAAAATTATACTTAACAAAACGTTTATATTGAAAAATTTATTGTTGTAATATTTCACTGCAATTGTATGTTTCGATTAGAATTTTTTTTTCGAATTCATTGCGCAAATTCTTCTAGAAAATATTGATTATGAAGAATACCAACTTAGCCAACGCCTTTCCTTCAAATATTAGATTATATTTGAAAATTCAAAACTGCCAACCGAAAAAAAGTTACCATTAAAATCCAAAATTTCTCCATTTATTTTAATTTTATTTCAAAAATGTTTAATTTTTACTATTTTTCATTTTATTATTTTATTTTTATAAATAAAATAATAAATTTTTTAAATAATAATATATTACATGCCGTAGCTTTTTACATCCTTAACTTTAAAAACGTTCCCATTACTAAAATTTCTTTTACGATTACATAAACTATTAAAAAGACGTTTATTTTCGTCAATAATACATAACAAAATTATTAATTTACATATTATTTAAGATATTGTAAAAATTAACGTAATATTTTATCGAAAATAAGAAAATAATAACTTTTTTTTTTCGTTATAATCTATAACATAGCTTAACTTCATACATAAAAAAATTTAAATGTTGGCAAAACTGTATTTGATATACACATAAATATTTTTAAATTTAATTTAACAGAAAAAATATTACCAGTAAAATAATTATAACAATTTGTGAGATGAAAATTATTAATTATTAATTTACATATCGGTTTTTACTTTATTGTTACAGTATTCTATTTAAAATAAAAATGAATTATGGAAACCGTTAAATTCAGTATTAAAAATTTATTTAAATATGTATTATTGACATACCTGATTTATATTAATTAAAAATCACCACTCTATTCAATTTCCTTGCAGTAAAACAAATATGACAAATGTTGTAATTGGGGGTGGAATAAGCGGTTTGTCTACCGCTTATTATTTATCTAAGATAATAAAAGACAAAATAAAAATTTTTGAATCGTCACACAGAGTTGGCGGTTGGATAAAATCAACAAAAAATAATAACGGAACGATATTTGAACAAGGCCCAAGAACTTTAAGATGTGGCGGATTAGCTGCTGATAATACTCTCGATCTTATTAACGAATTAGGATTATCCTCCGAGATCAAACCAGTTCATCGTAATAGCATAAGTGGTAAAAATCGAATGATATATTTGAATAATCAATTGATATCGTTACCCAATTCTTGGCTTTCCTTATTTAAAATAAATCCACCATTTATCAAACCGTTTTTATTTGCAATAATTAAAGATTTGTCGACTTCTAAAAAAGTTGTACACGATGAAAGTATTTACGATTTCGTTTCCCGAAGATTTGGAAAAGACTATGCTGATATCCCGTTGAGTGCTATGATTTGTGGAATATTCGCAGGAGATGCCAAAGAGATAAGTGTCAAAGCATTGATGAATAGTTTGTTTGAAAAAGAACAAAAATATGGTAGCGTCATTGGTGGAATGCTTCTGTCTCTAAAAGATAATTATTTTGAGAAAAAAAATTTTAATAGAGTGGGAATTAATAAAAAAAAATCAAAAATATGGTCGGTTTGGACATTGGAAAACGGTTTAGAAACATTACCCATTTATTTAAATAATTATTTAAAAAATCGACCAAACATTGACATTCGTTTAAATTCAAAATGTTCTGAAATCAAATTTAAAAATGGTGAAGTTGTTTTAAAATATAATGATAAAACAATTAATGCAAAACATTTATATTCATGTTTGCCGAGTAAAGATTTAGCTGACATTTTAAATGATGATGAACACATTTATTTAAAAAAAGAACTTTCATCGATTCCATTTGTAAGCGTGGCTGTTGTTAATTTAGAATACAATGGAGATTTGATTGAGAAAAAAGGTTTCGGTTTATTAGTACCGCCAAATCAAAACTTACCAATATTAGGCATCATTTTCGATTCTTGTATCTTTTCGCAGGTACATATATGACATCATCATCATCAAATTTTTTTTACCTCTTCTTAAAAAATCTAATTAAAAATTTTTTTTTGTAATTTTAGAATAATAATAAAACAGTTATAACTGTTATGATGGGGGGAAAATGGTTTGAACATTATTTTGGAAAAAATTCAAACGATGATGATAAATTTTTAAATGTCGCATTGAAACAAGTTAACGATATACTAAAAATAAATGAAAATCCTCTCGATTATAAAATAACAATTATGAATGAATGCATTCCACAATACATTGTCGGTTAGTATATCAATATAAATTTAAATAATATTAAATTATATTTTTACATGTTTATACATACATACAAACTTTTAATGTTTTGTTTTGGTTTTATACAGAGATACTATTTCTAATAATACATTTATTTTAAATATCTAATTTATCTACTTACAAACTACAACGATTCATATTTTAAATGTTTTTTAATACACACGATAAGTTTTTTGTCGATAAATAAGACACAACTATAAATAATTCAAGTCTTTAAATTATATTTATCCATTTATATATATATAAAAAAAAAGCATTTTTGAATTAATAACTATCCAATAAAAGTATGTAAATCAAGTTTTACACTTATTTTATTTAAAGCTAACTATTTCACATTTTTAATGATGTTTATTTGAAATAATAATGATAATCGAGGGATTTTAATAAATGTTTAAATATCACCAAAAGAGTTAAAAAAAAAAAAAATTTTAGGTTACATATAAATCACAAGATTAAAAGAGTTATAAATACAAATAATATTTTATTTACCTTTTGTCTGTTGTGTTTCCATAATTAAATTTTAAAAAATTAAAACTATTTAACTTTAAAACACAATTTCTTTTCCAGGTCATTTTGAAAAAATAAAAAAAATAAGAAATTACATACTGGAAAAAAATTTACCGTTGACACTTATTGGTAATTCATATGATGGAGTCGGAGTTAATGATTCAATTTATTCTGCTAAAATCAACGTCGATAACGTTCATAATCGTTAAAACAATAAAAAACCGTTAGATAAAATTTTTAATTAAAACTTTTTTAAAATTAAGAGGACGGAGAGAGTAGTAGTAGTAGTAGTAGTAAATGTATAATAATAATAATAATATTATTTATCATTTATTTTTTATCGAGTATTTATATATTAATTTCCCTGACAATCAATACTATTTTCTTTTTAATCCTGCTTTTATATAATATTAATAATAAATTTAAATTTTTTAATAAAATATCAATTCATTCTATTGTTTACGACGTTATCGATAACAAAAATAATAATAATAATAATGATTAAATTTGTGAATGTGTGTAAAAATTTCCACCTCTCCACGTGTATTTATAAAAATAATAATAAATAATATTTTATATATATATATATATATATATATATAAACTTTGATTTTGCACAAAAAAAAAAAAAAAACAAAAATAAAATTTTAAATAATAAAATAATAATAATGATAATGATAATAATGATTAAAATATTACAATTATTACAAAAAGCACCACAAAAAAAAAAAATAATTACATAATTTATGTTAATAAAAAAATAAAATAAAAAAGACAGAAAACTTTGTATTTACACATATATTATCAAACGTGACGTCATTTATACGGTCATACGTGACGTCATTCAGACGTTTAATTATTATCATCATTATCAATATAAATATATTTATATTTATATATGTATAAATAAATAAATAAATACTCTTGTTAATAATTATTTTCCGATTATTATTATTATTATTATTAAAATAAAGCGTGAAAGAAAAAATTATTAAAAAATTAATAATAATAATAACAACAATAACATTGATTTTATATATATAACTGATAAGTTATCATTTAAAATATTTATTAATTCATAATGTGATTTAAATTAAATGCTAATTATTGAAATTATTAAGTAAAAAGGTTATTTTCCGTAAAAATAAATCAATAAATCAATAAATAAATAAATAACTCTAATGATGATGATGATTATTCGATTATATATTATCCTATATACATTTATTTATTTATTTATTTTTTTTTTAAATAATTAAAAAGTTATTATTGTTATTGATAAAATTTTACTCGTGTTATCACGTCGATAACGAAATAAATAATAATAATAATAATAAATTCGGTTTCATTTTGGTCGCATAAATAAATAAATAAATAACAAATTTTTTTAAATAATTAATTAATAAATCTCGCTATTTTCTACAAAATCGTGTGTGTGTGTGTGTGCCTAAAAATTTCCAGGCACGTTAATAAATCAAAACATTATTATTATTATTATTATTATTATTATTATTATTATTATTATTATTATTATGCAAAAGAAATTCATTTTATTAAATATTTTCTCTTACATATATATATATATAAATATTGTCAAATTAAATATTTTCCCGTGTTAATAAATATAATACAAAAAAAAAATTTATTTATTTATTTATTTATTTATACGTCACGACGATTATTTATTAACATTTACTAATTTATTTATTTATTTATTAATTGAAGCTATCGATTTAAAGCAATCCTTTTTAATACATTTAATATTTCTATAAATATTTTTTATAAATAATTACATAAAGAAGGCTACATAATTTATTGTGCAATTACAACACATATACGATTTCCTTACTCTCTCTCTCTCTCTATCCCCCTCTATCTCTCTGTCTCTCTCTCAAAGAGAGATTATCAAGCGATTTACCAAAAGTTTAATCTTTTTTTAATTAAAATATTAATACATAAATTAATTAATTCTACGTTAATTATATCATTTGTTTATTGGCTAAGACATTTTTTTAATTATTGCCCTTTTTCGAGTTCGAACTCACTTTAATTATTATTATTATTATTATTATTATTATTAATACTATGATAATAATAATAATGATAAAAGGGTCTAACGGTTTGTTTTTTTTGTATAAAATTTTCTTTTTGTTGTAAAATTTATTATTCTAATAATTAAACTAAAATGAAAACTTGTAATCGTGTGAATATTTACTGTAAATGATTATTACCGTATTGTGTTTAATGTTTGTTCAGTCTTTGATAATTGTTTTTTTCCAATCCTTCACGTTCGTTTTCCACCAACTTCACGGGTCGGAAAAGTCGGAAAAAGGCTAAGAGTTAACAACGTGAGAAGGAGGTTTGTTATTATCTTGTTTTTGTTTCGATAACGATTTGTGACAATTTTGACACACTCGAACGGGTTTCAAAATTTTCAATTTCGATATTTCCGATTCGAATCGACTGCACCTGCAAAATTTAATAATATGTTGATATCGTAAAGTCGTAAAAATTAAATAGAAAAATGGCACTCGCTCGGGGATTGCGAAACTTACTTGGAACAAAAAACTTGACCGCAATTCCTGCAATGATGTTTCCTTTCGTAAATATTAAATTTGACTCCGCAACCCACGCACGATTCCGCACCTTCGTCTCTCAACCAATGATCCGCCATTGTTCTACCCGGTTGTTCGGCCACGCTCCATGAAAAAACTCGTCCTCTCGTATCCCCGACGAAAACCGTTTTTTGATCCCTGTAATAAACAAATGATGATGATGATGATGATGATGATGAGAATTAAATTTAAACCTTATTGTTATTATGACGTACTTGGACACCGCGAGTGCCGTTATCGAAGCAGGATGAGTATTGTCTTTTCTCCCAAAGGCTGTGTGCATCGTTAGTTTGGCTTTGAAAAGTAATTGTCTTTGCCAACGAAATCCCTCCCGTAAAATATTTTGCAGATGATGATTACACCTGCCATCTTTAGCACTCAAACCTCCGTTATTTTCAACCATGACGAAAGAATCCGTTAAACTCGTGTCACTTTTACTCGATCTTATTTTGTTACCATCTTCGCAATTCACGCCTAAATGTTTAAATAGTGATTAAAGAAAAAAATAAAGGTACCTTATTTGATTAAACTTAAACTCAAACGTACGTACCTGGATCCTCGTGACTCGTCGATTTATTATTATTGTCACTCTTTGATTTTTCCGATGCTGGCGAACAACCTTCGCTTTTTCTAAATTCGGGATTCCGCGCGGCTGAACTCCTTCGTCGTCTCACTACGGGTGACGGTTTACTACTCACGTCCGAATCTTTTTTAGACGAATCTAATTAAATAATAATAATAATAATAATATTCGGTTGAATTTAATCGTATCGTATTTTTGTACAAAAGATGAAGTACTCACCCGATTTTAAATCGTTTTCCACGTCGGAAGAAACAACTTCGTCTTTACACGACGACCTCCTCCATTTGTTACACGAAGAGTCATCCGACGCCGTCGTTCGAATCTCCTCCGATTTCGATTTATTGTCTATGCTCAACCTTTTTCGAAATTCTAAATCGCAAGCGAGTTTGGCATTTTTATCGTTATCGTTATCATTGTAATTGTCATCCTCGTCTTCTTTTCCGCTACATCTTTCTTTTTCCTCTTCTTCCGCATTTTCTTTCGTGTTTATTTTATCGTCCTCGGATAAACTACTTTCCGATCCGCTTTTAACCAAATGTCCTCCTCCTTCTTCGGTAGTAGTCGTTTGCTCGGCCGAAACGCTCATTTGCTCAACTAAATTTTTCATTCTTTTCCTCCTTTTGTCATTATCGGATTCGTTTTCACGTACGTTTTCATCAACATCCTCTCCTTCTTTTAATTCTTTATCTTCTTCTTCTACGACAACACTTTTTGCCGTATTTTGCTTTTCGGTAATGGGAACTTGAACGTAATCCAACGACCACATCTGAAAAGAGAAGCCACAATATCAGAATCGATAAATTAATGTTTTAATCTAATAAAGGATCAAACTTACTCGTACGACACCATCCGATGACCCGGTAATAATAACATTTTGCGAATCCCATTCGTTGGTGGTGGAAAATGCAACGCAAAGGATTTGCTGCATTCTATCAGCTCGAGCAACGCATGTGTTCACGCAAGCCAGTTCGTCGCCATTTATACTCCATAAATGTACCCAAGTCCCTGCACACGTGGCTATATCTCCCTAAAAAAAAATTTTCCACCGATGTAACCTATTTTCACGAATAATGTTTTCTATTAAAAAAAAAAAAAAATAGGTTTTTTACCGTCAAGTCATTCACGGTAACAGCTGCCAGCGGAGCCGAATGTCCCGTCAACTGTCTCACAAAAATCATTCTTGACAAATCCCAAACGATCGCCGTTTGATCTCTGGATCCGGACACAATAACGTTATACGCGGGACTAGATGTCAAGCACGTGACCGCGTCGGTATGACCGTAAAGGCATTGTTTAATTGACAATGATTTTTTATTCAATTCGCAAATTTTTATGACCTGAAAATTTAAGGGATGTTTATCAAATCCGTTCGATGCCGAAAAGGGGAGACATTAAACGTACGTACCGTGCTCGTGCCGGCCGTGACGATAAGACGATTCGACGGACAAGTACAACAAACAATTTCTCCGAAGGGTTCTTCGCAAACCAACAACACTTTGTCGGAATCGTAGGTACCGATTCTGAGACTGTGATCCGCGAATCCCCAGGCGACGTATTTACTAAACGTTGGGGGAACCAAAACTTTATTCTGCTCAACTGCCAGCATTGATTTATCGACAGATAAAATTTGTCCCACCGGTCCTTTTAGTTCTGTAAGGTAAAATTTATTACACTTTTCCGGGAATCGCATGTTAAAAAATGTTTCCGTAATTTACCCTTGATCGGTTGCATTGAAGGACGAAGATTATCTAAATGATGAAAGAAAAATTTATCCTGAGATGACAAATTTGTAATTCCGGTCGCATCCAAAACAAAGGATTTACTTCCTCCCAGTTTTTTAGCCGGATGCGGTTTTTTGAAGAGTTGCTTGGGGATTTGTCCAAAGTTGTTGATAAAACCTATTGTTGCATTTTTTTTCAGAGGGTCGTCAATGCTACCAACAAAAGAAAAAAAAAATTAATGTAATTATTATATATAGATATACACATAATAAATAAGAAGATATTTTTGTTTTACCTGTAAATATCGACATTTCCCTCGTAGAAAAGGTGATGAAAAACATTAGTTGCTTCCACGGCAGCGGATCCATTTTGTTTATGACCGAAAATAAGGTCGATCCATTCGTGAAGGTGTTGAGAAACGTAATCGCATTCCAAAGCTTGCCTGTGAACTCTGATAAACTCTCTGGGATCGTTTTTAGCCCACGGAGGCAATACAACATTCCCAAGTTCGACACCATTTTGTTTACAACCTAATGTAAAAAAATATCATAAATTTCGTTTAAATTGTTAAAATTTATAGAATTGATAGAATTAAACTACCCACCGAGATCAAAATTGTTTTCGTTGCAAAGAAATTCAGGCAGGTAAAAAAATTCCGGTATCAATTCTTTCACGTCCGCCATATTGTGTTTAGAAGCTGAAAGCCAAGCTTCTTTTATCGAATGAAACATTCTATCGGCTAAATCAAAATGTCCTCCTTGTAACCGTAAAAAATGTTGAGTGAACGGCTCCATTCTGACTAAATACGAGCAAACGATCATGGCGGACGAATAATGAGTACCGTAATGATAAGGCGGAGTTTCGCCATGCGGATCGTCCCATTCTTTGTATCTACACCAAAATTTTTTTGTATAAACGACAAAAACCTACGAGTAATTGTAAATGACTAAAAAAAACGGTAAAAAAAAACCTTTTTTTAAATTGATTTAATCTGTCCAAGGTTTGAGCTCCCATGGGTTGAGAAAAATTTCTAAAAGACGAAGGATGCGTGAGATCTAATTCTTCCGAATCGTAATCGGACAAAATCCATGGGAATACGGGATACTGCATCAAATCGTTGTACGATCTTCCCGCCAGCGTGTTTAAATGCATCAAATACTGAAAATTTGAAATTTCTCCCCTCTGAAATACAAAATTTTGTGGTAACTAATAAAAACGAAAAAAAAAAGGATAAGTAAAAAAAAAAAATGAAAGTATTTACCACCCATCGTTGAGTGACGGAGGTTTCACCGATCAAACTGGATAATATTCCAGTAGCTTGTTCGACGTTAGCCGTCCTTTTTTGACCCGCCACACTTTGTTGAGCGCTATCAGCGATTCCCGTGGCAAAAGCCAGGAATCTCTGATAGACTTTATTCCTTAGTTTTCGAGGAAAAGCAAGCAAATAATTACGACCGTCTCCGGAAAAAACTTCCAGAGCCATGGGTTGTAAAAGATACCTTCTTTTGTGAACCTCTCTAAAATAATAATAATAATAATAATAAGGTAATAAATGCTGGTAAATTTTTCGATTTAAAAGCGTGTAAATCCATACCTGATATCATCGTAAGAAAATTTAGAACATTGTCTCATGGCTCTCGATCTTCTGGGTGATCCCGTGCTGGGAAGAATCGGTTCGTAATTTCCATTCTCTGGAATTGATTCGATATCTCGAATCTCGCGCGATTTCAATAACGTGAAACCATCGATGACGTACAAATGTTCTTTTCCGAAAAGAAGCAAACCCTCGGTTGTGTCCAAACCTTGAACTCGAGCACAGCGAAACATGTGCGATATCTAAAAAAAATTGACGAATGACGACCTTAAAGGCATGCCCTTTATTTATATACCTATAAATTTATTTGACTGAACCTTCTCGTTATCTTCGAGGAGCCTTATTAGAGTTTGATTATCAGGCTGGGGCGTTTCGTCAACGTTTCCAGAATCATTTTCTGCATCTTCTAAAACATCATCGGGATCTGACACGGTTCTGTTAAGTGGCATAGCCTGAAAACCTACGAAAACAAAAAAAATTTTTTTTTTTAACTTGTCTTTAAACTAATAAGTAAAAAATTTATGTTAAACTCACTGTTGGCTTCTTTCAAATCTTCAGGAACTGAAGGTGTCACGTCTTGAGAATCAAATATTAAATCCTTTTCCGAATCGAACCAATTGTGGGAAAATCTCTTTTTGAGAAAATATTCTTTACTGTCCCAACTAGTCGCAACTTTGTACTTCAAAGCCTTATTATCTGGAGCATCCATGAAAGGTCGATAGGGATAATGCAAATAAAACAAATCATTTCTCATCATTTTTTTTCGCATTCTGCAGGGACCCTCGGTCATGTCGAGCATCCATTTATCCAGCCTGACAAAAAAATTTATTTCCAAAATTTAAACGATGATAATAATAATAAAATGATATATATTTTCGTTCAAGGTTTTATTTACTTTATGGGTAAAATAGGACCCCAAAGACCTCGCTCTCTCGTCAATTCCGTTTGCATTAACGTCCATTCTTCGAGCATGTATTTTAACATGTGCTCTTGTCCCAAATAATGATTTTTCAATCTCGCTTCGACCAATTCTTTAACCAAAGACGTTTGACTTTGAACCCAATCGAAAACTTCGGAAAATGAAATTTGCGAACGGCGAACTTTAATTATTTCTTCTTTTTTGACTTTCGTTCGGCTCGCCAATCTTGTGAGACCTCCCGTGACTTTTTGAATTTTCTGAGAGAGAGAGAGAGAGAGAGAGAGAAAAAAAAATTAACTTTCCATCAAAAATTTATTCCTCTTCATTCGACGTTTCCTTACCGATTGAATTTGATTTTGCAATTCCCACGGAACGCGATGTAAACTTTTTCTTTCTGCTTCGATATAATTGAGCCAAAGTTTCGTGGCGGGTTCGACAACTTGCTCCCGAACGCTCAACAAATCCGGTACTTTATTATTGGCAGTATTTAATGGTATTTTGAACACCTTTAAAATTTAAAAAATTTTTATTTAAATTTAAATCATTTTAAATTATTTTAAAAAAAAAAAAAAAACAACGTTTCGCACACCTCTTCGATTGCCGGCTTTTTATAAATGAATAATTCTTCCCAAACTCTTCGAGCGGCGACGGACATTAAATTTTGAGCTTGTTGAGCGGTTAAATTTTCTTCTGCATTCACCGGATTCACATGCCACATGGTTTTCATATTTGTGTCCAAAACTATTTTCATATCCGAATTCAATTGAATGAGACAGTAGGTGAGACATCCGATGAAATCGAGTTCGTGATTACCGACGCCGAAAATCAAAACCCTGAAATGATTTTTTTTTATTATTATTATTATTCGATACTTTTTTTTAAAAACTTCGATCGATCTCCGTACCTGTGAGTAGTTAATTTATGCAAAGCTTCCAACACGGATGTTTGTTGTGAAATTGAATTCGTGGGTCTGGAAAGCAAAAATAAAACTGTTCGATTTAAGCAATGGTACAAGCCTTCCAAAGGCACATTGGTCGACCTTCTTTTCGCTTGAGAAATTAATTTAACTATGAAATCGAATATTTCGTGAGGATCTTTCGACAGCGTACCTAAAAACGGATTTCGTCGTTTTTAAATTCCACCAATTTTTTTTTTTTAAAAAAAACTTTAAATTGCACTTACCCTGCCATAATTTATCAACTATTCTGGATGAAAGGTAGCAAACGTTATGAGGGATATTCGACAAATTTCCACCGGAGACGATGGGGAGAGCGGCATGATCACCGATGAGAACATCGGCAGCAAGTAAATGATCCATTAACGTAGAGAGGATTTCCGTTTGATACCGTGCTTGCTGTTGCATTGTGCAGTCATCGGGTGAAGCCTTTTTTAAAAAAAAAAAACAAAAAATTAAAATAATATTCGTTCCGAGAAAAAATATTATTAATAAAAAATATTCGTTTACCTCCAAAACCAAATCAATGACCGGAGGACTTTTATTATTGACGATTAGCGGCAACGATAGCGAGTCAACGACAATCACTCGTAAAAAATCCAAAACTAATTTTTTTGCCGGATGAGATGTGAGTTCAACTTCTTGCGAATCGCTTCTTACAAACACTACGTCTTCGAGTCCTTTGCACTGTATTAAAAAAAAAAAAAAAAATGTGTAACGAAACGAATTTTTTTTTTGGAAAGAAATAAATTCGCAAAAAAAAAAAAAAAGCAAAATTACATCTTCGGGCGTCGATGATTTACTGTCTGGATTACTTCTTGGAAATAACGTCGATGACAAAGCGTTCAACACATCTCCCGACATGAAAATCGGCATTAAATCCCGTAGGTTGTGATAGAGGAAAAAAATAAATTGAATGATGGTAACCGGATATTCTCGAAGCCATTCTGGTAAACTTTCCGGACTGAAATAATCAAATGAAGTTTAACAACTTTCTCTCACCGCACCCGTTACCAAAAGAAAAAAAAAAAATGTTACCTTTTGTTTTCCTGATTTAACATCGTCCGAACCATGGCGAGAATGGTGATGACAGCTTCGGGACATAATGGTATTTTCGACGAAAGTATGGGAATTCCATCTTTGGCATTTGTACCGAATAAAAAATTCCAAACACTGTCCAAATCCAGCTGCAAAACATAAATAAATTTTATTTTTATTTTAAATATTAAATAATATTACGTGGTCTAAGGAAAATTAACAAACCTTTGAATCGACGGGTAACAATTTCACGGGTTGGCCCATCATTAATGCTATTAATAAAAAATAAACTTCAGGTACGTCGATATGCTTTGGTAAAAGCCAACTTAAAGACTGAAACCCGGGAACCGATAAAGCTTCGGAACGATTGTGAAGGAGTTTGGGCGAACTGGCGCTGGCTCTTATTTGATACCCTATCGCATAAAATATATATTTAAAAATTCTAGAAAAGAGGTTAAATTATATATAAAAAAAAAACGCTCGTACCAAAGGGAACTCCCAATTTCGATTGCAAAACCATTTCGCAATCTTTGATCCAACCTCCGTTTCCGGTGCCTTCTCGAAATTTTGCAATGAGTGTCGGAATCGATACCGTGACTATTAGTATACGAAAACCCCACACGACGGTGGTCGAATGTAAGTGTCCTTGAAGAAACAAGAGTATCCAATCTAATCCGAGAATTCGTGAGAAATCTTCGCAAAACCTGAAATTGAAAAAAAAAAAAAATTTTTATTAATGAACTTATCAGTTTATATATAAAAAAAATTGTATTAAAACAATGTTGCATTACTCACGATATGTTTACGTTATTTTTGGAGCCAAACAGTAACGAATGCAAAAGTTGTAAACATCTATTTCTTAGCCCTATGTTATTTATCAATTTCGCGTGCTCTTCACTCGCATCTTTCAGATCAATATTCTTTTCTACGACACCACTTGTGGACACGGGTAGAGTAGATACCAAAAACTGCCCGAATCTTCCAGGCGAAAAAAAAAAAAAAATTTTATTTTTACAACAGTAATAACTCTCAATTCAAATTTCTTGATAATTTCAAATCATAAAAAACTCACCGTAGTAAATCGCTATCTCTAGGTTGGGCTAATAAAGCACCCAAAAGTGATAAAGTAATTTGTCTCGTGGATCCGGATGTAATGTCTTCGATGATATATAACAATCTGGGTACTAATTTAAGATCTCTTGCAATTTTTATATTGATTTTCTTTTCGCTCGACTCGGTCACTAATTCGTATATGTGTTCTAAAAGTGATTTTTGAAGGTCTCCCGGTGCTTCGTGCCATATCTTAAACGTTAAATTTAAAAATAAATGTTTTGTACAAAGTTAAAACACCGACGGCAAGACAAAAATCGATTAAAATTTAAATCTTATCAAATATTACCTCGAGATCGCAAAGTAAATCTTGAAAAGCAGTTACATCGGGAATACTCGAAGATTCGCGACCGCTGTCGACGGTGCCAACTAAACTAAAGGCCAAATGTAATATGTGACTGTTTAGCAAATGTCGCTTCTTTTTAAGCAACATGGCCAACGTTTGATGAGCACGCTTTCGATCCATTTCCAATTGAATATTTTTATTTGCACGAGCAACGCAAACTAATGCTTTTACTGCAGCATAAAGAGATTCCACATCTTGCGCCATTGCAATGAGACCTGAACATAAAATTAACGGAGTGTAAGCTCTGTAAACAACACCATCATTCATCTTATTCACCATTTTATTATTTTACCCAATAAAACTGCACAGCCGCCAATGTTATCAATCATTTTGGCAACAGGCCTGGGAGAAAAAACGCGAACTCCGAGGTAAGCTACCACAACTCCACCGAGACTTCTGGCGGGTCCGGCCAAATGCCCACAGGAGTTGTGTAAAATACGAATAGGTGTTGCGTTTTCGTGAGATGTCATTCCCAATTGTTTAGCAATACTCTTGTTGTCAGCTCTTTTGTACACTTTGCGAATTTTGGCAAGGGTTAAATTAGATACGGCTTTGGCGTTCAATCCAAATATTAATTTTTCTTCGTATATCAAGGGAGCAAGCAAATCTGAACCTGGAATTAATTAATATTTATATAACTACTAATTGAAAATAACTTTCCCTTAAAGGTACTGTATAAATACCATTCAATTGTGGCGCCTGAAAACTCCCGGTATACTGCGGTCCAAGTTTGTAAATTGTAACGACGGTTTGAAGATTGAGAACTTCTTCTACTAAATGACACGGGCCTTGTTTCCAATTAAGCCTTGAATATCGTCTCCAACATGGAGGAGTTCCAATGTAGGCGTAAACAGAAGAAGCTACCGTGAGGTTTGCGGCACCTCCTCCAGGATTTTGGGATATGTAATGAAGCTGTAAAAAACAATATATTTTTTTTTAATTTAAAATTTTTAACCCGGGTCGTCTAACTTACACCAACTTTATCCAAACCAAGAAAATAAATTTCTGTTTCGTTTACCTTGATCGTGTTTACGTGTTGCCCGTCCAAATACATTGAAAAAGTTGAATTTTTTAATACGGCTCTGTTAAGAACTAATACTACGTGATGCCATTGTCCTTCTTGAAACATGTCCGGACACCGTATCTTGCCACATCCTTCGCCGAGTAATTCAGGTTCCCATTCAGCTAAAAAAATAATTAATTTTAGGAATGGAAAATTTCAAGTTTTAACGAATTCATGATTTAGTCACGTACTTTGAGGTAATAAGGTTTCCTGAGTTGAAATAATAATCGACTTGTCCCTAGCTGATAATACTACGGCTAAACATATGAGGTGTTCATCTCTTCCTTGAAAATTTCTGACTATGGTTAACAATCGCACACTGTGGGGATCCGTTCTAGGGTCGGAAAATTTTTCGATACAAATCCACGTTGAAAAGGATAATCCTTAAAAAAAAGAGAATCCATATTGAAAATTTCGAACAAATTATCATTTAAAATTCAAAACAATTAATAACAAATTATACCAGTTTGAGGTGGAAAAATTCTATCCCCTGATCCTATACCCCCAACCACGTTATTATCCACGGACAGTAAAGCACCCGTAACTACTCCCGGACCAGCAGGACTTTGAGGTGCTATAGAAGGCAAATACAAGCAACCGAATCCTTCTGCTGACATATCCAGTTCAACAAAGGCAGGAGAAGTCGCATAGTTTTGCCTTATGATAAATAAGCACAACAATCAAAACAATAATAGAATCACAACTCTCGTACAAGCGTACAATAATACACAAAAATAAAGTAATTTAAATTTTACACGTACCCGCTAGAAGAAAAATCTCTTGGAGTCGTCATCGAAACTAATGTTTTAATTCTAGTTAAAGGTACTGGGCCTCCAGGAATGCGATGGCTAGGTCTACTATTTATCACAGATTCAATATCATCCATAGATACACAATTTAAGGGATCTCCCAGTCGCAAAAATTCTCTAAAATACAATGTGTCGTATATATATGGAAACTCATTTGAAAATTTAAAAATTATTTTATTCATCGAACGGTATAAAATTGTAGAGTACCTTAAATCTTTCGGTTCGATGTTTTGGGCCGCTAATCTTTTTAAAATGTATTGTAAGGGAGAATGTAGGGGATGAGCTTCTTCCTCAAGTGCAATCCTACAACATTTTAGTAAATCTCCAGGGAGCCCCGATTCGCACATCAATTGCTGATTTCTTTCACTTCTCAACAAAGATTTTAAAATTTCGGCAGCAAACATTTGCAAATTCAAAGAAACCTAATTTTAAATTTAAAAAAAATATTAATTTAAATATTTTTTTTCAAAAAAGATGAATGAAAAAAAAAAAAAAAAAAAAAATTCTCATACCTGGGGATAATTCGAACAATAAATACAAGGAATTAAATGCAACATGGCTACAACAATGTCAGAATGTACAATTACTGGCTCCGTATAAGATTGAACCAAATTAAGACTAGATACTTGCGGAGTTCGACGACTAGATCCGGGGGAGTCGGTTAATTTTTGATAATTTGGTTTTTTTTTGCTGCCATGTGATGGCGATCGGTAAGAAACATTCGCGTAATTAATATTTTTATCGTAAGCGTCTAATGCAACATCGTACAGGAGTCTTAAAACTAAACACTGATAAGATAACCTTAACGGAATGTGTTCTGGAATGCTGTAAGATAATTTTATAATATTATTATTATTCTATAAATTAATTATTATTATTATTGATAATTTTGCAAGTTTAGATAATGTCTAACATATAAAAAAAAGTAAAAACTCACGTGGGATTGAGAATGTTTCCAGTGAACAATGCATGAAATGATGGTTCTTCTTTAGCAACAATTAATTCAGAACTGTCCAACAATTCAGTTTCCGTTGAAAAACAACCCAATAATTTAATGGTATCACATAAGCTTTGAGTACAAATCTAAAAAAATAATTTTATTATTATTATTCAAGCATTCAATCGAAAAAAAAAAAAAAAAATTTATTAGAAATAAAACTCGCTTCTTGATGGAAAAATTTAGCATTAGCAGGTTCAAATCGCATGGGGACAGTTATGGAACTGAAAACCATGTGAAGTAATCCGAAAATTTTTTTTTTGAGGATTGTATTCCAAGGGGGTTGTGGTTCATCCGAAAGGCATCCCTCCATAGAAACTAATACCGACATGACATAAACGAAACCTCCCCCTTTTCGAAACCCCGTACGAGTTTTATGACTTTCTCTCAAGCAGCTCAATAATGACTAAAACAAAAAAAAAAATATTAATTCATCCATATTTAAGGTATTGAAAAAAAAAAAAAAAAAAAAAAAAAAAAACCTGATACCTGTAATATGTGAAATTTAAACAAAATATGACTAGCTGGAGCAGAATGCATCATTCCTAAAAGTGTTCCCATGTCATCGTCTCCACCACCAGTAAGAACCAATTCTCGCACTATTCCGAGAGCTTGATGCCGACATTCCATATAAGGTACTAAATTATGAGCGCAACGTGCTCCTCCACATTCTCGAAATAAATTCGCATTTGTAGAATTACCCGACAGTAAGTGCGTCAGAGTTTCCATAACAAGAAATCCAAGTTTTTCATTAGATTCCGATATTTGGAAATCTGAAAATACAATTTTTATTTGATGAGTTATAATCAATGTCATTATTTAATGGTAACCTGAATTGACATGTTGACTTTATGTACCTTTTCCTTCTTCGATTGCCTGTTGTTTTTCTTTTAGCAAAGCTGCATATCGTTTTAAGCATGTTACGAAAACTTCAAGCAAGCCCACTTCTCTATATACATCTTTAAAAATTAAATTGTACCTGAAAAGGCGTAACAAAAATCAACTAAAAATATTACAATTTCCTTTAATTTATGATTTTATACCTGATAAAAACTCACCTTAATATATTCAGTAATGTTTTCATACAAGTTATGGAACAAGTCACTGATTCCTGGCTCCTTAACAATATTGATAAGGAAATTAATTCTTTACAAGGAACAAAATTTAACTGAAACACTACAAATTCTAAAAGCTGAAAAAATTTATCCTAAAACAAAATTTAAAGATTATAAAATTTAAGATTTTTAAATATATATAGTATTATGATATGAGTATTTTGTTTACTTGAATCTCCTGAGATTTTGTATAAATTTTTTCAGCAAATTGAGGAAGAGTATGTTGATCTTCTAATATAAAATAATTGGCATTATCTGCATGATAAACGCTAGATATGGCATCAAGTATTACAGAACAAAGAGCAGAAGAATTTGATTTTAAAAATATTGATTGCAAAACATGAAAAGCTTGTATATTTCTGACACTGACTCCTAAAAATAAAAAAATAAAAATTGATTCATTGAATGAAGTCTCCTTCAAAATATGGTTTGTATTATTTACCTCTTCCTGACGGTTGAGGTAAATTAAATCCAGCCATTTGAAACAGGGAATCAGTTGAAGCTTGGCTTGGTTTCAATTCTATGTATCCGCACATACATAACGAAGAGATCATAAGAACCAAATTCCTGACAGCATCTTGAGCTTCTCTCGAATTATCATGTTCTATTCTGTTTAAAAATTAAAAAAAAAATGACATATTTGTATCTATTACCAATTAATTTTTAATTTTACTTTTTGTTAATAAAAGATTTTATAGTTTTTCATACCTAAGTAAAAATTCTGAAAGAAAGAAATAACCCTGACACGATCTGAAATCTTCCAGCAAAGTTTGAGCAACTTCACTTGAATCCTTTAAAATACAAAAAATACTAACAAAAATTTCAATTATTTCTAAAGGAGTTAAATCCTGAGCTCTTTGCATGTTTTCAATGCAAGCAGCCATGCAGCATTTGTCTACAAAAAAATAAAATTTAAAGCAAAATTTAGAAATGTGTTTAATGTTTCTAATCATTTCAAAATCACTCGTTACATACTTTGTGATTTATTGTCAAGTATAAGACTATTTGGCTAAATTTCACAAAGCTAAACATTGACAATACTTACTATGAATGTAGCTTACAACTGGTTGGGTTAAACCATGTCTTGACAAAGTCATTAAAACTTCTGCAGCCGATTTTCTCCACATAATGTTGCAAGGGGGACATGAGCTAGTAATGGCTAAAAATAATAACGACAAATCATCCTTCCTCGAAAGTTCATGAGCTGGGCCTGGATGACTACATAATCGTACAAGAACCTTTAATCAAGTTAATAATTTTTTTAAAAAAAATATTATAAATAAATATTTCAAATTATTAATTTTAGCAATGGAAAAAAAAAAAATATGTTTCTGCTCAATTACCTGTACAAATATCTTTTGCAATAAAATTCTTCTTTCTTTCGGTGTGAATTCACTATGTGGATTATTATCTTGATCAGCTTCATTTTCTTCCATAAGAGGAAGATCGAAAAATAAATATAGACATTTAACCAAAGTACTCGGCACAGAAATTGATGTCATGACCTGTATGTAATTTTAGCGATAATTATATATATAATAATATAGCATGATTAGTAATAAAATGGCTTATTAATAGAAAATATTTTTCAGTACTTTAAATTGATAGTGTTTAATTACCTGTACCAATGCATCATCCCCAGATGCTAATAAATTAATTGTGGTAAGAAGCATCCAGCCATTACTAGATTCCTCAGAATTTTCAATTTCAAGAAATTTAACAATTGCAGTGCTAGCTTCTTCGGTACTTTGATTAGATGCTCTTTTCCTAATTTCTCCCACCATTAATTGAGAAACAACTCGACAAAATAACAAAATATCTTTAAATTTGTCTGTCATGTCTGATGATGGACAGTTGCCGAAAACCTTGTAATGATACATAAAAAAATATACAATTACAAAATATAAAAAAAAAGAAATTTATTTGCTAAAATAATAAAAAAATCTCAATAAATTGTTTTTTTTTTTTTTATTTAAAATTCTCACTAATGTTTTTTCGAATATTTTTACCTTACAAAAAAGGGGAAGCATGTTATAAAGCTTATCGTCCAACTCTTTTTTAGTTAAGGTCTGCGGTGGATGTAAATATTCGGAGAAAAGCTTTTTAAGATGGTTCAACCCCAATGCAGTATGTTGAGGATTTGGAATTGTTTCATCCCCTGTTGTTGTGGATATACCTCCACTTCCTCTTAACTTTCTCATTATATTCATTTTGCTGGAAATTATTATTATTGTTGTGTAAGTTAATTAAAAAACCATAAATACAGAGACCACGTAAAACCCCACACTGTATGAGCTCATTGAGTTACTTACTTTGTTTACTTTTGAATTCAAAACAATTAAGACAAGGTAATTGTTTAAATTCATCAATCAGCGTATTTAAATACTAAAAAAAATTTCCATTTTTAATTTTTGTTATTCTCCCTTTTTATGTCATGGTGGAAGAAAATTAATGAAGTAAAATCAATTTGAATTTTGATCGATATTCTTAGTTAGTTCTTTTTCGTAATAGAATTAGCCATTGAAAATTCGCTATTAATAAATAGTAATTTTTTAGATTTTTTATAATTATGATTACGTGTATCGATCATTATAAAATGAAAATAAGTCTTTTTAAAATTATAAAAAAAATTCAGGTCGAATTAAACATAATAAAAATAATTTTCCTGTAAGCTCCACTTTACATCTCATCTACTTTTTCCAATCGATGTTAAAATCATTATTAATTAATTTAATAACTTTTTTTTATTAAATTCAAATACTATTTCCCACAAAATTAATTAAAGAGGTTAATAAAACTTATTACATTTCTTTTGATTATAAAAAAAAAAATTTATTAAACGCCCACAAAATTAAACTTAAAATAAAATAAAATTTCACTATCACTCAAAATCTTATTTATAGTTTCGACTTAATTGATTTTCCGCTCAAACGAGATTTAACGATTCGATATAAACGATTTTTATGTAATTCCGTATTATTTTTCAAAATAAATAGTTATTTAAGTTATAATTTTTAAAAAAATAAATTATGATCGAATAATTTTATTCAAAATCATTTAATTTTTAATATTTTTGCTTACTTATTTCAACGAGTTGACATCTTATTATTTGAACCGTAATACATGAAAATTATTCACTTCCTTTTTATCGATTTTTGAAAATTATTTTTAAAAAAAACAATTATATTTATCAGTCAAAATTTAGATTTACGACGAAAAAAGTAAAATATAATTTACCGCGAAACACGAAAAAGAAATTTTAACGGTTTAATACCGCATTACAAAACATTTTTCTGTAAACTAATAATTTAGTCAATAAATTGTAATAATAATTTCTAGGTTTTAACTGTTTACTAATAATTTTTTTGACTTCCAACGTTTTTTGAAATATTTCAAATAATTTCCCGACTTTATTTTAATTAACTTTCATCTGCATTTTAATAAGCTCAGTAAAAAATTCTTTTATTAAAATACTTTATAATAAATTACGTCGTAGTAAAACCTGTTCTAATGATGAATCAAGATGCATCATTTTACATTACCTTTCTCATAAATACATTTTTTAAGGAAATATTGTTTTGTGAAAAAAAAAATTATCAAATTATTGATTTTAAATCTTGTTAATATATATTTTATAACATGAATTATATATAATTTATTTATAATTCATAAAAATGATTGATTGACAGAAAAGGCTTCGAATAAAATATGACAGTAAGTAATAATAAATAAAAAAAATCAAACAATTTATGATATATTATTTATTTTATCACTGTTATAATGATTTAAATTATAAAGCTGTTTAAAATAAGATGAAAATATTAAACAGACACACAATGGGAAATACATATGAGCAATTAATATTAGAAACATGATCTATCTTATTTTAATGTTACTAATAAAAAAAAAAAAAAAAAAAAAAATCGATGTGATCCCTTTTAGTCTCATAAATAATTTTAAATTGAAAATGATTGATTAATAAAAACTTTTATAAGAATTGGAATAAAGAAATGTTATTATTACTCATGGCAAATCATAAATGCAATGTTAAAAAAAAAAAAAAAAAAAAAAATTAATAATATTTTTGCTCTAAACGCAATTATTAATAAGTTTAATCACTTTCATTTTATCCAGGTTAACTTAATTGTCCACAATTTTGTACGACAATTTCCTTTACAGTTTTACCACTTTGAGAACCATATGTCTCAATCTAAAAAAAAAAAAAAATAAAAATATTTAGAAAACAATTTATACATAAAAAAAATTTTCCGCTCTTTAATCATAACTTTACCTTTTTCACAACATCCATTCCCTCGACAACTTTACCAAATACTACATGACGACGATCCAACCAAGTTGTCTTCACGGTAGTAATAAAAAATTGACTTCCATTTGTATCGGGACCAGCATTGGCCATTGATAAAATTCCTGGGGAAACATGTTTCAAGTTGAAGTTTTCATCTGCAAACTTTTCTCCGTAAATGGATTTTCCTGAAAAATAAATATTTGGATATTTTTATACAATTTGTTTTTTTTTAATTCAATTACAATTACAATAAATAAATTAGTCTTACCTCCAGTACCATTGTGGTGAGTAAAATCTCCACCTTGACACATGAAATTTGGAATAACTCTGTGGAAAGTAGATCCCTTGTATCCGAATCCTTTTTCACCTGTGCAGAGTGCTCGAAAATTTTCAGCAGTTTTTGGTACAACATCAGATCTCAACTAATTTGAAAAATGAAAATGTTAGAATATAAGGTATCAGGTATTAAAAATAATAATAAAATATTTAAAAAATTTCAAAAGTCATTGAAAAGGTAATAAAAATCTAATTGGTACACCGATTTGCAATATATTATGCAAATCAAATTACTCATTCAAAAAATTATTTTAAATTTAATTTTTCGTTTTAAATTTTAATAAAAATAAAAGAATTAAGTAGAAATTTTAAAAAAAAAATTTTAATAATAGGGTGTTAACTTTAATTTATCGAGTAGTAATTTATAAGTACTGATGTCATTTTATAACATTTCGACAAAAGCATAGACGCTCCCTTATGAAAGTATATAAGAAAAAAAAAAAAAGAAAAATTATAAATAAATAATTTTGGTTAGATAAAATAAGAGAAAATTGAAAAAAAAAAATGATTACAATATTGATGAAATAAAAAAAAAAAATTTACAAAAAATATTTATTTAAAAAAAAAAAAAAAATAAGCAATTGCGGAAACAAAGGGCTTTTTTTTTTTTAAAGGAAAAATTAGCACGTCCAGAACGCTATTCGACTCTGGAATTAAAATGAAATTAAATATTATTTAGATACTTACTTCGATCACAATACGACCCAAACTTTGACCATCAGCAGCCATATCCATAAAAACTCGTGGTAAAGCCATTATTTTTTCCGCACTAGCTTTTGAAAAATGCAATAAAGAACTCAAAGAGCCGGCTCGGGTATTGTAACCTAGTAAGAGGCACGAGTAGCGGCAAATTCCACGCTCAACGTGGAGTACTGTTCGAAACATTTTTAAAAAGTAGTTCCTACTTTTTTCGACTATAAAAAAAAAATTATTAATCTTATGTTTTATCAAACAATAAAATAGCAAATTAAAACAAAAATGAATTTTACCTAATTTAATTAAACGGTTGTAGTAAATAATAAAATAAATATATAACTAAATTTAAAAAATGAACTTTTTTTTAATTTCGCACATTCACAGAAAAAAGGCATCCATATCCGGTTGTGAATGACAACTAAAATTTAAATTTTTATTGTTATAAAAAATTAAATTGTGAAAATTTTTCAAAAAAATATATTTTTTAAAAATATAATAATGCAAAGCTTTTTGCAATTAATTTTTTTGATATAAAATAATAAATAATTATTTGAAAAATAAAACGGAAGTACGTCATTTTAAACTTTAATATTCCTACTCGCTACATTAGCGACAGATTAGCAATGGTAAACAATTGTAAGTTCTATAAAAACAGGTACTTTTTATTATGTTCTGTTATATATTTGTTTATAAAAGTTGATGTGTAATAAAATCATGATTAAAATATCAAGATAAAATTTTTACAAATTAATAAATTATTTTATTTAATTAAATCATTTTCTAACACTGCACTTGACAAATTTTTTTATTAAAAGTCAAATTGAAATTTTTAAAATGGTGTCAAATGTGTACATATGACGGTTATAAAACGAGTGTGACATTATTTTCTATTTAACGGTAAAGCAAAGGGAATTTAATAATTAAAACTTTTGGTTTCGTTTTCTTAAAGGCTTATTCGAACTTTTTAGATTTCCTTAATGACTGACATTTTTTTTTTTATTATTAAAATTTATATTATTACTTTGGCTAAACAATATCAAAATGTACTAAGAAATCTCCTTTTAAGTCATTTCAAGTTGAACTTTTTTTTTTTTTTTTTTAGTATGCATTATTAAAATTCAAATAGTAAATACCCTCTTAATCCGGATGTTATAGATATGAGGTAAGTCAAACTTATAATAACAATTTTTTTAAATTTCTATATTAAAAAATTAAAAATTTGTATAATATTAATTTAAAATCTCAATTGTCGATTAGAAATATTTAAAGTAAACATTGATTGTACAAGCAAACAACATTATTATATTTAATTTTATAATTAGTATTAGGAAAAAAGTGATTTTATTTTAAAAATAAGTCATTTCAAATTATTGTTTTATTTTTTTTCCAATTTTTGTTCGATTCTGTTTACATAGTGCTTATAAAGTTTCCTTAACATATAATTTGGTTTAAAAATTTCTAAGGCTTAAATCATTTAGAAAATTGTTTTTACTTTAATTTTAAAATCATAATAGAGTCTCTTCTGAAAATTAAACATGATGTTTTAATTAATTTATTTAACAGTGTACATTAATATATTTTGATTTGAAATTTCGATCTGAAATTTTACACATCTTAATAATAATAAAATTTAATTTATTATATTATTAAAAAACTTGTTATAAATTTTTGATTAGATTACCTTATGTTAAATTCAACTTTTTTAAAAAAAATTTTATTAGAAAAAATTAATTTTTTAATTATTCCATTTTTACAAAAGTCGAGTTTTACTATTGTAAACTTACATTGTGGCAATAATGTAATTTATTCCTTTTACTGGTTTTTTTTTTTTCTTCAAAAATCATTTACTAAAAACAAATTTTCATTTTTTTATTGTTAAAACAATTTATTTATCATATTATTAAATAAGAAATTTATTGTTTACTTGCAAAATTTACTTGATTTTTTCTTTTGTAATTATTGCATTCCAGAGATTCGATTTTTAATTAAAAAACACCACTTAAACTTTTTATATTGTTTATATGAATTATCCTTTAATTTCTCTTTTATTTTAGAATCACTTTTAAAAAAATCTTTTTTTTTGGAGCTGTCATAACATTTTTTTACCTGGAATTCATATCTTACTGGATATTGCCTTGGCTGTGGTGGAAACTTCCAGAGTGCAATTCACCGGATTGTAAAAAGTTATTATTGGTAGCTGATCCTCAGATAATCGGACCAGAATGGAATTACTTAATTTTAATGAATTGGATTTCCATATTTGATTGTGATAGATACATTAAAAGAACATTTATTAATGCTTTTAATTATATAAAACCAGATTTTGTTGTATATTTAGGAGATTTAATGAATGAGGGTTACACAGCATCAGAATATGAATATTTAAGTTATTTCAAAAGGTTTCACGATATATTCGATTTGTCTTATTCTTTAAATGGTACAAAAATTATTTTAACTCCTGGTGATAATGACATAGGGGGTGTAGATGATATCTTGATCCCTTCTAGCGTTGTGAGATTTGATAAAATGTTTCATTCGAGTAGTGAAAGTAGTGTACATGATTTAATCGAATTTTCTATTGTAAATGTAATGACATCTAAACTCCAGAAATCGAAATATATTGATGAAAACATAAGGATTGCTATTAGTCATGTTCCATTAGTAGCAAAGAAGTACTATTTACTAAATGATGTAAGTAATTTCAATCATTTTTAAAGTTTGATTAATTTAAGAATTAAATTGAAATTTTATTTTTTTTTTTTTTTTTACAATTCAAACTCCATGTTTTCAATTGTCGAATTGTTTTTTTAGGTTGTGAAACTAATTCAACCTCATTTAATACTCTCTGGTCATTTACATAAATCATTTCATTTCATGACGGAAAGGAAAAATTTATGGAACATTAGGTACACCAGGATTTTACCACAAGATTCAGAATTTAAACAATTGAAATTTAATAAAGATGTGATTCATGAAATAGTCGTTCCGACATGTTCATACAGGATGGGAGTATATAATATGGGTTACGGCGTAGCTTACATAGGTAAATTTATTTTTTAATTTTTTTTTTAAAGAGTTTTCACATCATAATTTTTTTTCTAGGAGAGGTAAAGTACTTGATAATTATTTGTTTTTTTTCTCTCTTTCTCTCCAGACACTAAAAATATGACAATGCAATACAATGTTTTATGGTTGCCACATAGATTTTATCAATTATACATTTACCTTTGCATACTCGTAAATTTTATTCTCATTGAATTGGTTGGGAAGTTGAGGAGAAGTAGACAACAGTATAGATCATTGGAATCTAAAAAATTTTTAACTTTTGGACCATAAGGTAATTAATTAAAACTCAATATGGTATTGAATTTTGCAATCTCCTTCAATAAAAACTGTGATAAATTTAAATGAGTTTTTTACCAATTGTATTTTTGTTTACGAAAGTATTCGGTTCAAAAAAATTATGGAAGAGTTAAACAAATGTATGCTGTGTAAAAAATTTATCTTAAAAAAGTGTAATGTCAAGTGCCATTTTAAAAAATCCAAGCGAAATGTATGAAGTGAAAGCTCTAATTAATCTTACTTTCTAGTCAGTAGATTCTATGCTTCATGTTTTTTTTTTTTGTTCGATTCGATTTGATCATCAAGCTATGGTAAAGTTATATAAAAATTGTTGGTAAAAAAATGTTTTAAACGATTTATAAAATATATTTAAAAAAAAAAGTTAAATTAAATTTTTATTTGGTATAAATATTTTGTTTTTTATTATTTAAAAAAAAAATTATATTTGTAACAAAAAGCGATAATATGTAAATATATCAATAATATTTATCGAAAAAAAAAACTTGTTGTCGACATTTGTAATTATTGTTTTTATTATTATCATCACACATGTGGCACTACTAATTCTATATATTTTATCTAACTACATATTTGTATAAATTTATTTAATCGATATATATATATATATAAATATGATTTATGTTATATAAAATACTAGCTTTGTATAAAAAAAAAAAAAAAACAGTCACAATCGAGTTAAATGCTTATTTATATATATATATATATAAAATTAATAATCATTTAAACCATAATGAACTCTCACTATGATCATTACTACTTGTTTAATCATCATCATCATTATCATTTCGCATATTCTAAGTCATTTTCATATGGTTCAAACCATTTATAAAAAAAAAAATGGGCAAAATATTTTCTTTTTTTAACTAAAATTTAAATATTAAAATTTGGTGGTACATAATGCATTCTACATCTTTCATATAAAACTTTTGATGTTTTGTCTTTTACTACTTCTTCAACTCCGAGTTCAGTTTGAAGTAATTTTAACTGTAACAGAAAAATGTAAAAATTTAAATTTGTTTTCGTTTTAAAATAATTTTAAAGATTTAAATTTTAATTGTATAATTAATATTTTTTTAATCATTATTATAATTTAACAGGGGTTAAAGCAATTTCATTATTTTTTTTCAAAAACAAATATTTGTCTAATCGATAATGATTGACTTAAAGAAAAAAAAAATTTGATAGAATGCATTAAATATACCTTTGATTGTTCTTTTCTCAATGCTTTTATAACATCCATGTTTTCCCCATTTGATTCTTTGAGCTTTTTTAAATCTATTACTTTATTTCGACTAAAATTTATACATTTTTGAATAGCTTTTTCCCTTTTATCAAAGCTTTGTTGTAATTGTCCATATAATTCTTTGCAAGCTGTAGAAGAGTCATTTTGACTTTTAAATGATTCAGTCGGAAGTGTGACATTTAATGTGTATATTATCTTATCATCTAACTCTCTCATCTTTTTTAATATATCCTAAAATTAAAAGTGAATTATGTATGATAAGTACTTGTAATTAGATTTGTTAAATTTTTTAACTTTTTTTCAGAGCGTCAATGAATGAAATTTTTATTTTAAAAATGTATTTTGTAATAAATACAATAACTTGCAGTGACTTATTCAAATTTAAATTTTTAAATAATGGCGGTAAAAGCAGAGAATTTTATTGTCGGAATTTAGTAAATGCATGCTGGCTTTAAATAACCGAGACTCGGATATTTTCTTTAAATAATACATCACGTAAAAAAAATTTAAGAGAATTAAATGCAAAAAAAAAGCCGATAAAACATTTTAATTTTACACGATAATTTCTGTTATGAAATTTTCAATAATAATTTCGTAACTTTAAAAAAAACTAGGTTAAACACGAATAAGATACTATTTAATGTAAATAAGTAAGTAAAAAAATTTTAAAAAACGGGATAAGTTAAATAAATTACCATTTAAACATTTTAGACAAATCTTCATTCAAAAACATAGTAGAATATTAATTTAATTCACCTGAAATTGTAGGAAATCCAAGCATTCTGTTGAATCGACCGCGGCCATTTTAAAAACTTTATAAAATTAAATTTCCCTTCTCGGGAGTTTCTAGAAAAGACCTTGAAATGAAAAGCTAGTGTATATCATAGAATGATATTTTCTTATTATTGAGTCAAATACGCAAATATTGTTAATCGATCAAGGTATGTACATTATCAACGATCAACATTTATTTTAAATATAAAATCAAAACTTAATATTACCCAGTACTATTAAATAACTATTTAGATATGTTAAAGGCGGTTTTAAGTATATGGGACTTAATTTCGTAAATCTTTTGTCTCACTACTCGCCATTTTTGATGAAGTTTATTAATTCTAATATATATCTTAAATATTAATTAGATTGATTATATCAAAAACTGTTTTAATTCCCTTTAAATTATTTCAAAACTCCACGCTCTTCAATCAATACAATAAAATCTCACATGTAAAATAATTCATTGTCATTGTAAATATTTACTGCTCACCATGAGAATTTACTAAAAATCTTTAATAATTGACATTTTTTTTTATCATGAGTTGTTAAATATTGTTTCCTAAGTCGATTTATAACTTTTTCTCCACGGTATTACATTTGGAATTGTGTAAAATTTTTAGATGTCTGGTCCTACACGTAAACATAGGTATAAAAATGTTGGCATGGATTCACAAGAATTAAGACGCAGAAGGGAAGAAGAGGGAGTACAGTTAAGAAAACAAAAAAGAGAACAGCAGTTATTTAAAAAAAGAAACGTCGTTTCTGCAGGACACCTAGAAGATGATCAGGTGCAGTAAATATAACCTTGTAACAATTTACTACAATTTTATGTAATTAGAATATGGAATGTTAATATCTTAATAATGATTTTAAACATTTAAAGTCGCATAAACATATTAAAAGTATATTTAAACTTATACTTAGTCAAATTTTCTTAAATTTTACACTTTTACATGATGATAATATGTATAGCAGAAGAAAAATATTTATTATTTCTCAAACTTTTTTCATTAGACAAAATTTTGTTTGATCGCTGTTTTTGATTTCTGAATAAATATTCATTGATTTCTACCCTTAAAATTAATTAAAGACCCCTAAAAAAAGAAAAATTAGAGAAAAAATTTTTCTTATTTCAAGTAAATTTATTATTATTATTGCTAAACATCATTTATTTATGATCATTACATCATTTCGAATGTTATCATAAACAATAAAAAATCGTTTAATAACAAATATAAAGAAACATAAAAAATGTATGTATTGGTTTATCAGTATGAAAAACTTATTTTTTATACTTAAGGGAGGAGATATGAACTCATCTATGACTAATTTAGGAATTACTGAAGAAACGATTGCAGCATTATATAGTGACAATGCTGCTAACCAATTAGCTGCGACACAAATGTTTCGAAGGTTGCTATCGAAAGAGCCAAACCCGCCCATTGAAGAAATTATTCAAACTGGAATTGTTCCTCAATTTGTACAATTTTTAGATAATTCTGCTAATTCAACATTACAGGTTTAAAATTGTTTATTATTATTATTATTCGAATAAATATCATTAGTACCATAGATTGCGCTTTATTAAATAAATGCATTGAATTTTTCAGTTTGAAGCTGCTTGGGTTCTTACTAATATTGCATCTGGAACTAGTGATCAGACTAAAGTTTTAATAGATGCTGGATCTGTACCAGTATTTATAAAACTATTAAATTCAGAACATGAAAATGTAAGAGAACAAGCTATTTGGGCACTTGGAAACATAGCCGGAGATTCACCTGCTTTTAGAAATTATCTATTAGATGCAGGAATACTTGTACCTCTTTTACAGTAAATTTTTTTTATTTTTTATTTTTTCTTTTAAAGAATAATAATAATTATTCGAGAGAGAGAGAGAGAGGGAAAGAGAGGGATTAAAACAATTGCATGAAATTTTTGCAGAGCTCTAGGAAAGTCAAACGTGTTGTCAATGACTAGAAATGCGGTTTGGACTTTGTCCAATTTGTGCCGCGGAAAAAATCCTCCTCCCGAGTTTAGTAAAGTGAGCCATTGCTTACCGGTTTTGAGTCGCCTTTTATTTCACAGTGATGCTGATGTTCTTGCAGATGTTTGTTGGGCGATAAGTTACCTTTGCGATGGGCCCAACGAAAAAGTACAAGCCGTTATAGATTCGGGAGTATGTAGAAGATTAGTAGAATTATTAATGTGAGTTTTTGTTTTTTTTTAAATTTGATTTTGTAACTTTATATAAAGTTGTTAAAAAATATTTTATTTAAAGGCACAAAGAAACGAGTGTGGTGACACCAGCTTTGAGAGCCATCGGTAATATTGTTACCGGTGATGACATGCAAACTCAAATTATTCTCAATTGTTCTGCCCTCCCGTGTTTATCATATTTATTAAATAATGAAACGGATTCAATTTGTAAAGAAACTTGTTGGACTATATCGAATATTACCGCTGGAAACAGGCAACAAATACAGGTGATTGATTGATTGATTGATTGACGTTGTAAAATGAATCGCAAGATAAAACAAAAAAATTATTCATTACTCTCATATTTTTTAGGCCGTTATCGATGCTAATATTTTTCCCGTAATTGTGGATATTTTACGGAAGCGTGATTTCAAAACGAGAAAAGAAGCCGCATGGGCAATAACAAATGCGACAAGCGGCGGAACTGCCGAACAAATTCGTCACCTTGTTGATCAGGTAAAAAAAAAAAATGGACGCCATAATTACATGGTATGGGAACGTGTAATATAATACAAATAATTATTATTTTTAACTTAGGGTTGCATACCTGCTCTGTGCGATTTACTAAGCGTAACCGATGCTAAAGTTTTACAAGTTGCATTGAGCGGTCTCGAAAATATATTAAGGGCTGGAGAACAAGATGCAACATCCGCTAATTTAAATCCATATGCAGTCGCCATTGAAGAATGTTATGGTACGTAAATTTCCTTCTCGAGTTGTTTCATCTTTTTAATATATATTCTTTAATTGTTTTTTTTTTGGGGGGGAATTTCAGGTTTGGACAAATTAGAATTTTTGCAGTCTCACGAAAATAGAGAAATTTATCAAAAAGCATACGATATAATAGAACATTATTTTGGTACGGAAGAAGATCACGCCGTAGCACCGTCGATCCAACAGGATTCTCAACAATTTCAATTTACCGATCAAAGCGTTCCAATGGGAGAATTTCAATTTTAATTTCCATTTAAAAAAAAAAAAATAATCATGTCAAAAACAAATAATAATGATAATAATAATAATAATAAAATAATAATAATAATTAACTAACTTTTAATAAAATTTAATTCGGTTTTTTTTTTTTCTTTTGTACGTGAAGTATATATACTAAGTGTAGTTTTTGATTTTTTTTTACATCTTTCTCTCTCTCGCTATTTCTCTCTCTCTCTCTTTTAATTAATTTTATTATTAGTTAATTAATTAATTAATTTTTTAAAAAATAAGTTTAGTTGCTTAAGATTTATTGGGGGCGGGGGGGATTTAAAATTAATAATTTTGACAAAAATTAATTTAATTATGTGTTTAAAAAAAATCCAACGATTAGAAAATACTCTCTCTCTCTTTCATCCTCTCTTTCCCTCTTCCTCTCTCTCTCCCACTCCTCTCTCTTATTCCTTAACGAAAATTAAATTATTATTATTATTAATATTTTTTTCGATTTAATTATTATTATGAATGGTATTTAATTTACATTTCCAAATGTCAAAAAGTTTTTTTTTTTGTTTAACTTTAATATTGTTAATTAAATTATCGATTGAATTTTATATTTAAAAAAAAAATTGTAATTAATTAAATTTAAAATAATAATGATAATGAAGGATTTATATAATTATCGACAATATTTATATAATACATAATATTTAAATTGATTTTTGATATAAAAGAAAAAAGAAAGAAAAAGTTTTTGTCATTTGGTTAATATTAATTATTAATTAATTTATTATAAAAAGATAAATAAATAATTAATTTATATACTTATGCAGACTATTATAATCGCATCGTTCTCTTGTAAATAATTAATAATTAATAATAATAATAACAAAGGGCAATATATATATATATATTTTTTTTTGTAAATTATTGCAATTGAATAATCTTTTATAATAGAAAAATAATAATAATAATAATAATAATAATTAATTTAGTTACCTGAAAAAAAAACTTTTATTTTATTTTATTTTTTGTTTAAAAAAAAAAAAATCATTAATTAAAATTAAAAAAAAAAAAAAATATGAACTTATATATTAAAAATCCAATCAATCATCATTTTTTTTTCTTCTGTCGTTGGATTTCATTTTTTCTTCCCTTTTTTTTTTTATCCTTTTTATATACTGGAAAAAAAAAAATAATAATAATAATAAAGGAAAGAAAGAAATACGTTAAAAATTATTTAAATTTAAAAACATTTTAAATGGCGTCACACGTTCATAAGAATAATAAAGAATGAGGGGAAAAAAATTTTTGATTTAGTTCACGAATTTGCCGTTTGGTGGCGCTGTCATGCAATCCAACTTCCCCTCCAGCCGAATTTTGACTCTGAAAAATCATCGAAAAATCCACGATTTGTATCAGAAAAATATAATGTTTAGGAGGTTGATAGAGATTTCACCACAAACAATGTTTGATTTAGTTCACCAATATTCCGCTAGGAGGCGCTGTCATGCAATCAAATTTCCCCTTCATTTAATTTTACAAGTTAAAAATGAGGGGAAAAAAATTTAATTTAGTTAACAAATATTCCGCTAGGATGCACTGTCATGCAATCAAATTTCCCCTTCATTTAATTTTACAAGTTAGGAATAAGGGGAAAAAAATTTGATTTA